CTCCTCCTCCTCCTCCTCCTCCTCTTCGACCACCACCACCACGACGACCAAGAGGCCCAAGAGAAAGAAGAACAAGAACAGAAGGAGGAAACCGATCGCCTCGACGACCACGACCACGTCCACCACGACGACTGTCGTTNCCAGCTCACCGATACCAAGCTTGACCGAGGAAACCGAGCCGGGTATCGAGATCGCAGAGGAGGGGGGTGAGAATGGAATAGCACAGGAATCGAAGATAGCGCCCGAGACGAAGGTGGGGCAGAAGACGAAGAAGAAGCCTGCCCCTGCATCTGGGATCAGCACTCAGATATACAACTTTTTGAGCCGAGAGGTGATGCCGAGCTTCGGCGTCATGTCGTTGGTGGGCCTCGGCCTGGGCCTGGCCTCCTACTTCCTCTACCCGTTCGGCGGAACCGCGGCCAGGAGGAACTACGTGGAGGTGGAGCCGAAATACAAGTACAACTTCGAGGAATACGGGGGAAATTACGGGCAGAGCGAGGAGGAGGTTCTGTCCAAGGTCCTTCAAGGGATGACCACGGACGAGATGACCAAGGGCCACCAAGGGTCCAAGGTGTACGAGGACAATTACTACGCGTACCAGCGTTACGACGCCCCCTTCGACCATCGCCAACCGACCAACAGGAACAACGATCAGCAGCGCTACTCCTCCCCGACCTTATCCTCCCCCGTCTATCACCCCTCGGAGAACACGGCCCCGTCCCACAAGTACACGGATTATCGTTACTATTCCGACCCCTCCAGCACCCCTCCGAACCCGTACCACGACGGAACCAGGCATCGAGAGTACGTGGTCGGTTCCGGCGTTCCAGGCTCGGCGAATCGGCAATTCGTCGTCGGAAGCGTCCCGAACGCGTATCCTCCTCCCTGCGAGGAGAAGGTCCTCTCGAGCGTTGGAAAATTGGGGAACGGTTACGGGGGAGAGGGGACGGAGAGCAGCGGGGGCGGCCAGACGCGGACCGGGTACGACGCGACGAGTCACAACTTCAACATGGGCAGCGTTCAGAATTACGGCCAGATCAAGACGGCGAGGCCTGACGAGGGTTACGAGGAGGTGGAGATCACCCCTACAGCGGTCGCCGTGGAGCACGGGCCGAGGTCTCTGAGGATTAAGAGATCCGTTCTGGGACGAGAATCGTCGGGTAGGGTTAGGAGGGATTCCGTGATTCAAATAATTCCCTCGAAACGGGAGCTGGAGGAGGAGAGGAGGGAGGAGGAGTTGAGCAACGAGATCCTCGACATCATCGACTCTGCCTTACCGGCGGAGGGGGATTACGAGGAGGATGGAATGGGAGGGAGGAGGAAGAAGAAGAAGGAGGAGGAGGTGGAGGTGGAGGACGATCTCGAGAAACGGGACTCGAGCACCGTCGTTTCTTCCACGAGGACGATCGAATCATCTTCCTTCTCCTCGTCGACCTCGTCCTCGTCTTCCTCGTTGGAAAATTTCGATTCCGAGGGGGAGGCGAAAGGTACGAGCACCGTCGAGAGCGTCACGATCGATCCGACCACGAAGAAGCCAGCCGAGCAGAACGGTTTCAATCTCTTCAATTTCGTGAAGAAGATCGCCGAGATCAAGTTCCGGCTCGGTCTCACGCTTCTTAAACACGCCAGCGAGGGTTTCGCCAGATATCTCGGCCACGTGCAGAAGAGGATCAACGGGGAGGAGTGAGGCGGAGTCCTCTCCTCGGTGGAAACGGTGGACTCGAGCGACGATTCGTAGCGTCAGCTATGCTCGTGGCACGTACCCACCTTATATTCCTCGAGGACCTCGTTTCGAAGGAAAAAAAAAGAAAAAGAAAGGAACGGAAATGGCGTCATTGACGAATCTTTCCGATCGAATCTGAAATATCTTCGTCGTTTCCTTTTTTTCCCTTTCTTTTTTATCTTGTATCTTCACTTTTTTTTCTTTTTCAGGAAAGAAATATTCGTTTCTGAACCGATAAAGACGATTCCCCGATGAAGATTTTCGTCGAGAAAAATAACATTTGTTTTAAGCTTAGGAACGAATATTTCCCCCTTTCTGGTGAAAATGATGAAGTTATTTTATTATTATCATCTAGACGACTTTTATTAGCGCGTTTTATTCTAAGATCTATAAAGATCTTTTCTCTGCGTTCTTTTTTTTAATTTATAAATATTCTTACGTAATTTTTAGAACGTTTAGAATTTTACAACATATGCAAGCTAATTGTTTAAACTTAAATCGTCGGATTGGATCAAGGAACGAAGATTGGATTATTCCTGGCAGGAACAAGAAGCTTTAACGATAAATAGGATTTCTCGCACGGAGTGCTAAAAAAGATGCATTCTATGATAGTTTTTTCGAAACCACCAGAAAGTTTCGAGAAAGATAAAGGTTTTGAAAGACTAGCAGCGAAAAATTCTATTCCTTTATTTTTCGAGCGACTCTTTTATTCTTCGATCGGTATCTTTCGTATCGATATTTATTCCTTTTATTCAAACCGAGCATCGAAATGTAAAGTATAAATACACACATATATATAAATAAATAAATAAATAATAAATAAGATAAATGTCTACGTGTTATCCTAACATGTGTATAAATATATGAAGAAACTTGTAATAAAAATCTATTTTTCCTATCTGCGGAACACATTTGTTTTTCGTCGAAACAATTAACAATTAAACTCGTTGCCAAACGAAACGAATCCGTATATATCGATCGATATATGTAAATAAGAGAATAGATAGACTTAAAACTATACAAATTTGTCATGTATACCACCAGTTTCTTAAACTTTAATAATTTGCTAATTTCATTTTTATGTACTTCAAAAGTTGTGCCTATTTTTTTTCCTTTTCTAATTCTCCATTTCTCCGTTTCTACGAATTATCAAGTACTTTGTTTCTCGGGATCAGTTTCTTTATCATAGTCTCGTGATCGAGGAGGCCCAATCCAGAAGTCGTTAGATCCCTCTTTCGACGACCAAGAATCATCGGTATCATCATTGCCATTGTTGCCGGTAATATCCCTGCAAAGTGCACGAGTTTTAATTTGAATCTTTAACTTTTAATTATTAAATTTTCGAAACGATTAATTAATAAAGATTCGATTTTGTAACACATCTTGTTACACAACAATTTTCTTTGTATCGAAGAATAATGAAGGAATTACTGAACGCTGACCGGCACTGACAGCAGCCAGAACAGCAGAGCTGGACGCCTTATTTCCTAATGTGTTTCTGATAGGTCTCTTTTTCAGGATGGTCGATAACAACGGCTGCCTTTCCATCTCGTACTCCTTTTGACTCTGGTCCACGCTCTTGAACGTCTTCTCCACTTCCAGAAGGCCCCCGTGCGAAGTGGTCGTATTCGTGCCGTTGATCGATGGTAACACCGTCAATCTAACCTAGGTAAACGATATCTCATCAAGCGACTGCCAATTTTCCTCCTCCCCCCTTCATTATTTCTCTATATCCTTCGATCAAAGTGATAACAATGATTATTCTTTTTTTCTCTTTTGTTTTTCTAATGAAATCTCGATA